CGTGTGTATATATGTATGTGTGTGGGTGTGTGTAAAAATTCAAATATAAATAAAAATATATCTGGACAAAGACAACATGAATAAAGGTTTCCTTTTTCCTTTACACACACATGCGCACACACACACACAATAATAACTATTGTATATGCACCAATTGCATATCCATCCATATACTTGTAGATTTGCTTGCTTATTTAGGCATTAATACACTCCCCTTTGGTCATATGACTTTTCCATACACACACACACCCATATATATATATATATATATATATATATATATATATATATATATATTTGGTTGGATAGATGTGAGTTTGTGACCCTGGGTTTCATGTGTTTGTCTGACGATCGCTAAAGCGTGAAACCCAGGGTCACAAACTCACATCTATCCAACCAAATATGTTAGCTCTATCTCTGATATTGAGCGCTTTCCTAATAAGTACCGCCATATAATATATAAATAATTATACATATATATATATATATATATATACCCACAAACACACATACACACATTGTTTTTATAGATACCTACATTTACTTATCCTGATAGACATTTAAATCTAAAGACTAATATAGCCACACATGTATTCAGTAATGTACACTGTAAAGTCAATGCAAATACAGACTACTCTGTTTGAAGCAAAGTACTTTTTTCTTAGCCACACCCATCTGTGAATGCATGTATAGAGACATCAGCTTGTGTCTAAGCCTCCCCCACTCCCCGGCCCTCCTGGGCAGGTGCAGTTGTACACATCTACATATTTATGTAAGCGCTCCTGCAGTTATGTCCTCATAGGCAGGTGTTCTCATCTCCAATGTGCATAGCCAAGCAACCCACTGAGTGCAATGACTTTTCTTCTTTAACCGGGATCTACCTTGAACTATTTCTGTGGAATGTCTCTCTCTCTCTCTCTCTCTCTCTCTCTCTCTCTCTCTGGCATCATTCATATGACCACTCTCAGCACCCTCCCACCCCCACTCATTCTCTATCCTTAACACCTGCACTGCCCACCAGTTCTGTACATTTTCTCTCTTTGTGCTTAACCATTCAAAAATAAATGACTGTCACTTTGCTTGGCCGCTTTAGTTTAATTCCTCTTTTGTTCTTTTCCCCCTCATCATTATTCTCTTCGTCTTGATTTTCTGCTTGATAATTTTATCCACACTTCTTTTCAGTTTACTTTTCTTTTTTTTTCCCCTTCCTTACTCTTAACCCCCTTCCCATTGACAAAGTCAGACAGAAAAGCTTTGTCTTCAAATGCAAAATGACTAGTCTCTCTGTTACATACAGTTCCCAATGAGGCTTTCAGGAAATGTATGCTGCTGTCTCTTTAATATCAAGGAGTGTGTTTTTATCATTACAAACAGTCAATGACTTATTCTTTCTATATTAATATAACAAGAGAGTTTAAATAACTTCCTCAACAGCAACACTAATATTTCCATCATTCTTCCCACTTAGAAATTGTCTGTGTTAATATTAATAATAGTCATTGGATATGTACATGAAATAAGCTTTGAAGTAAAGGGCTGTAAAAAAGAAAATACTTTTGATACATCCAAATATATAATATTACTATAATGGAGTCATAGATAGTCATTGGATATATGCATGAAATAAACTTTGGAGTAAAGGGCTGTAAATAAAACATAAATGTAGTCTAATATAATCATAGTAATAATATAATGGAGTCAGATAATTTTAGGATGTGTATACAAAATAAACTTTGGAGTAAAGATATACAAAAAATATGCAAAAATAATAAAAATAAAATAATAATATTAATAAAGAATAATAATAATAATAAAAAGTAATAAAATAAAAAAAAATTTAAATAAAAGTGATAAAATAAAAAAAAATAAAAAGTAATAAAAATAAAAAAAGAAAGAAATGAAGATCTAAATAGTTTTTAAATCTATACATGAAATAAGCTTTGGTACAAATGGCTTCAAAAAGACAAAGCATACTCCTTTCTTATAAACACTAATTTTTTTTTTTATTCTACTACTATTGTTGCTGCTGCTACTACTACTACTACTACAATAATAATAATAATGATTTGTTTTTATTTTATTTTCCCTCTTTTTTATGCCATACTTACTAAAGGTTCCTTTATTATTTGCAAATTGCCATGCATTCTTGGAAAAGATGGTGGAGTGGTTTCCTTTGTAACTCAGAGTTTTCCTTCTCTTAAATTGGTTGCCACCCAAGGCTAGAGAGTTCAGCCTATCCTGCTATTTAATCCATAGCCAAGAGAAGAAGAGATAGATTCATGCTTTTCCCAAGGACATGTTTGCAAAAGTGAATGCAACAGACTTTTAAATTTTAAAAATCCTTAACAATGAGACTAGTTTTATTTGGTGACAGTGTGGAAAAAATCTGAAAGACTTTTCTTAAGAGACTAACACAGAATGGCATTAGATGTCTATGACATTTTACCTCATGTCTGTTTCATTTCTGGGTTATCATTAAGCAGAGAGATGAGGTAATGCAACAGTTAACAGCATGGATAATGGTATTAGGAAAGGCATAAATCTACAAATATCATGACCAAAATGTCTTGTTTCTGGTATTCCTTGACAGTTGATGGAGAAGGATGAGTAGCAATAATGGAAAACTAGTCTCCTGCCTTTCTTATATTCCAAGCAATAGCAGGAAAAAGTCTATATCTCCTTTGTCAATCTTGAATATTTTTAAGAGAGAAATCTAGAAAAATTTCATATAAATCTTTTCTGTATCCTAATATTTAGTAAGCTTTGCTTAGTTTAGTGGGTGGCAGTCTTTTGGAGAGAGTGATCCAGACAGCTATGCAGTGTCTTGGAGGAGGGCCACAATATCAAATACACTATAATAAATTGTCTTAAACCCCCCCCCGCCCAAAAAAACAACAAAGTTAGTGTTATCTTATTTAAACAAGGTTCTGTATTTACTGCAGGAATAACAAGATGATAACTAACACAACAAAAAATACAAATCCCTTACTACCATTAAGTTGGTGGTGATGGACAAAATTCCTTCACAGGCTGGATGTAGCCCAGAGGCCTGAGGTTATTGATCCCTGGCTTAGTTCAACTCAAAGTGACAAATGTGGAGCATTCACTTAGTAACAATTCTTTCTCAAGAGCCTATTATTAATTAACCAAAAATGTTGGTATATTAAATGAAAATAATAAACATTATTTGTTTACCTATTGACATTACTTGATTTGAATAGCATAATTACTGTTTTGTTCCACTATCTCCTGCCTTCTTTCAAGTGATTTCATCTTGCAAGAACTTTTTCTTGGGGAAATAAAAATTTACTCTTGGTGCTTTGGCAGTCTTCTCTGGCATCAAAATGTTTTCCATTAAGAGAACTCTGTAAAGACCAGAATAAATGGTTAGTCCAAGAGAGCTGGTAAATATGCAGAATAGTGAAAAATTTCTAATCACACTGCAACAATTTTTAACTATCCAGCATTTCTAGTAACTAATAACAATTTTTTTTTTATTGGTTGCTACCTTTCATTGGTCTAATTGAGAACAGTCTTTGCTTCATTTTCTGGAAGGAGCTTGTAATGGGAAACACATTTCCAGTCACACTTCTATACACAGCATCACCTTCTTTGGGTGAAGATGAACATTTGCTACAGTCAGAAGAAGTTACCTTCATTTATTCTACAATTTATTGCAATTAATGTTGTTGTAAAGTATCTACTTTTCATCACTTATCAGAATTTGTTTAATTAGCACAGTTTTATGTTTAAGTAGCAAATCACACTGGAATTTTATTTCATTTTTCTTTTCTTTTTTTTATTTCTTACTTCAGCTAACATAACCAAGCTTATGCAAATTATTTTTACTGCTTAATTTGGACATTTTGAGCTTATTTATATTCTGTGTTTTGTATTGCTGATTATTGCTAAGTAATATCTTGATTTGTTCACTCTGAATCTCAGCTAGTCTACACAAATTGGCACAGTGAGGAATCTTCATCAAAGCACTTATGACATACTAGCAGCATGGCCCGGCGTTGCCCGTGCTTGATTCAAAAATCATTACACACACACACACACACACACACACACACACACACACATCCTGCCTTTTATAGATAGAGATTTGATTTACAGTACCTTCTCCATAAACTGCACAAATTTTATTTTTTATTCATTTTTTATTCATTTATTTGGAGGTGGGGATTTGGCTTTAATTTAATCATAATATGCCATTTGATATTTTCTTCCAGTTTCTATGTGAGAATGAAAAATATAAATATTCCAGATTTGATAATTGTTTAATGCCTGCAGATATACAGTAAAAATGAATGTTTTAAAACTAAACGCTCCTAATGCCATTAAAATGGCAGCAATAACAACTTATATTGTCATTAAATATTTTGATCTATTTCAAAAACCCCTGAAGGGAAAAATATGGTAAAATATTGTAATTCATAACAATTATAACTTCTCATCCTGGAAATTCAGTCAGAAGACGATCAGGTGATAATAACAACAAAAATGAGGATAATAGTCCAAATGAAAATAATGATAACTCCTCTTTCTAGAAATTCAGACAGAAACTCTTCTTTTTTATTATCTTTTTTTATGCGATTGAGGTGGGAGGGGGCAGCACACTATGACAGTTAAATATCATTAAATCATAATGGTGAAGACAGATTGTAAAAAAAAAATTCTTTATGATAACAGTCCATGTTAACATTGTAGTATGATTTTCAAAGATAGACCATATTGTTCTCTCTGTGTGTTATACAATGACACTAATCGGTTGTGAAGCTTCTGTTTCTCTGCATTTTCATGTCAGATGCCATTTTGCCTGTCTGCTATTTAAAACAAAGCTAAAAAAAAAAAATTTAGGTATTGGTAGAAAGGTTTAAGGTTTACTGCCATATTACCATTATCAACATTTTAAATTTTGTCCAACATTATAAAATAGGAGGCATTACTTTCAGAACAACCCTTGTGGGTCAAGATACTTAGCACTGAACATGGTTTCATGAAAGCTTATCACTGAGCCATAAAACCACAGTCAGGATATCCAAGCAATCTTCAGTTTTATGCTCAACTGCATAAATCATTGGGATAGATAGATAGATAGATAGATAGATAGATAGATATGGACATAGATAGATAGATAGATAGATAGATAGATAGATAGATAGATAGATAGATAGATATGGACATAGATAGATAGATAGATATGGACATAGATAGATAGATAGATAGATAGATAGATAGATAGATATGGACATAGATAGATAGATAGATAGATAGATAGATAGATATGGACATAGATAGATAGATAGATAGATATGGACATAGATAGATAGATAGATAGATAGATAGATATGGACATAGATAGATAGATAGATATGGACATAGATAGATAGATAGATAGATAGATATGGACATAGATAGATAGATAGATAGATATGGACATAGATAGATAGATATGGACATAGATAGATAGATATGGACATACATACATACATACATAGATAGATAGATATGGACATACATACATAGATATGGACATACATACATAGATAGATAGATAGATATGGACATACATACATACATAGATAGATAGATAGATAGATAGATATGAAAATAATCGGTTGTGAAGCCTGAAGTTGTTTTGAGTATGTTGCCTGTAATACTCTCACTGGTACACTTGTTTCGTCTGTATGGCGTGTCTGTAAATGAGGTGCGGGCTGTGGGTCTGCGACTAGTGTCTGCTGGGACTGCAATCTTGTTGAAGATCTAATCTGTTGAAAGAAGAAGTAAATGAAGCGCATAATAGTACATTTATGAAAGGAATAATATGCAAGCAGCTGATTGGTTCTGCTCACAACCTGATGGGTGAGGAGAAGCTGAGTTGGGGAGGAGGAGGAGGAGGCGCAGTGTAATAAAGTTGACAGCGACCCAAATGGAAAAAGCTGCACCATGACCACCAGATACCACCATCACCACCGCCCAGCTTGCCATTTCCACACTTGGAAGCTAGTGGATTGGGTTTGAGCTGATGGGTGATTGGGAGGTTATCGATCAGGCCAATCTATTTGAATTTCAACAGGATATTCTCTGCCCTTCAAAATAGGCTGGCTTGTCTTGCTCTGGCTTTAGTGCAAGCTCTTTGATACCTTTTAATCTATTTCATCTAATAAATGCTACCGAGGCTACCAAATAGTTTCCTCCTACTACTCCTACTCCTCTGATCATTTCATTCCCTCTTCCTTTTTCTGTTTTATTTAGCTTTTTACTTTTAATTCTGTTTGTACCCACAGTTATAGGCACACATATACACAGGTACACACAAGAAGCTATACATTCACTTTTCCAACACATGTTCACATATGTTTGCATGTACCTTTCTGCCTATCTGTGAAAAGTTCAATGGCTTTTCACACTGCTCTCCCTTTTGGGATTGTGGCAGAGCTGCACCCATCTTATCTAGGCATAAATACAAGGCTCAAGAGACACTCGAGGTAGAGGATTACTGAATGATATTGTTGAATGGACATAAGAAGAGGAACTATATGCAGATGATGAAGATAACTGTCTAGATTTGAAGAAATTGAGATTGTAGTGCTCAGTAAGTGTCCGCTTAGGAGGCTGTTCCACAAAGTAGCAGTTCTTGAGAAAAATTAAACTTCCTTTTTATTAATGGAATGAATTAAACTTCCTTCTTATTAATGGAATCCAAAGGGAATGAGGATATTTCATCTCACTGTACGCAGCATAGCTGATGAAACTAATGAATGTAACTCATTGGATTGATTGATTCATTCATTCATTTTCTACAGCTTATCAACCCCTTGAAGGCTATTTAAAGCCAGAAAATACTTTTACATAATAATTTTTTATTTATTTATTTTTGATAATTATTATCAATGGTTTAGTGATACAAGTTTTACTAATTAACCCATAGCTGGAGAAGGAAGAGGTGGATTCATACCTAATAAAAATTTGATAAACAAACAAAAAATTATTAATGGGGGGGAGGGGATTCTATATTAAAATTTATATACAAACTGGCCCCTCACTTTTGGCCATTGTAGTTTTTATATATTTATATTCCAGAGAATATAAATAAATCTAAGATATATGCCTGTGTAGAAAATCAGTATTTGATAGATTGATTCATTTTTGAAAGCATACACACCCATTGCAGGTTATTTAAATACAGAAAATATTTTTAGATTGTAAGAATTTTTTTTTTCTGCAGATAATAATGACGTAGTGATACAAGTTTTACCAATTAACCCATAACTGGGAGGAGAAGAGGCAGATTCATAGCTTTCCCAAAGGTTTTTGTGTATAAGTACATATAACAAACCCAATTGGAATTGCAACTTGGCTTTCTGATTAACAATTCCGAGCCATTATTCATTACACCAGCCACACATGCAAACATAGAGCACCTGGTATCCCCAAGCACCCATTGAGGTACTGACCAGGCTTGATGTTGCTTAACATCAATAATCATATGGGAATTGGAGTTTCAACATGATGTGGTTGTAAGCCTAGCTCGTTGGAACATTTTCTAACAGAAGATAAAGTAAGGATAGTTTCGCAAAATATTGTCTGTGGGAAAGAGTTTGTAGGATGGAAGATAATTCATCATGCACTAATAGCTAAATCTTTTCACCTTTTACAATTAAAGGTTGATGCAAGAGTATATTTCTGGTCTTAGTATATATAACTAATTTAACCCTAACTCCTTCCACGTCATCCATCCCATCACACTTGTCATTAACCATTTTACCCCAAGCAAGGCAATAAAGCCACTAGGACACAAGAGGGAACAATAAAAACAGGGGTTAAGACAGAAGATAACGATTTCCAAATTCTTGGAGTGAATTGCGTCATGGTGCTCTTTTTCTCACAGACAGTGGCCAACTGTCCCTACTATACTGTGCAGTCAACAAAACAATACACGTGCAGAATTTAAAAGCTAAAATGGTGACAATTTACCCATATATATATATATATATATATATATATATATATATTATAAATTATGTTATATGTATATATATATATATATATATAAATTATGTTAAGTTATATGTATATATATATATATATATATATATTATTATTAAGTTATATGTATATATATATATATATATATATATAAATTATGTTAAGTTATATGTATATATATATATATATATAAATTATGTTAAGTTATATGTATATATATATATATATATATAAATTATGTTAAGTTATATGTATATATATATATATATATAAATTATGTTATATATATATATATATATATATAAAATTATGTTAAGTTATATGTATATATATATATATATATAAATTATGTTAAGTTATATGTATATATATATATATATATAAATTATGTTATATTATATGTATATATATATATATATATAAATATATTAAGTTATATATATATATATATATATATATATAAATTATGTTATATAAATTATATTAATATATATATATATATATATATATAAATTATGTTAAGTATATATATATATATATATATAAATTATGTTAAGTTATATGATATATATATATATATATATATATATATATATAAATTATGTTAAGTTATATGTATATATATATATATATATAAATTATGTTAAGTTATATATATATATATAAAATTATGTTAAGTTACATATATATATATATATATAAAAATTATGTTATATATATATATATATATATATATAAATTATGTTAATATTATATATATATATATATATATATATATATATATATATATATATATATATATACATACACATACACAAACACACATGTGTATATGGTGTATTTAGGCAGCAACAGATATTTTGTGTAAATTAATTTTATTGATCAATTTTTTCCAAATTATGAATAATCTTTCTCAGATAAAGAGATTCCGACAAAAATTGTCCAAAGTTCATTTTGGAAGAAATATAATCCAAGCTTTTGACTTTCTTCAGAGTATGAAACTGACCATTTGTCTTTAACTGATGATGACTTGAAAGCTTGGAGCATATTTCTTCCAAAAACTTTGAACTTTGCACAATTTCTGATGCAATTTACTTCTTATATGACAAAGATTATTCATTATTTAGAAAAATCAATCAATAAAGTTAATCAGAATAAAGTTTTTGTTGTCTTTATTAATTGTGTGTGTGTGTGTGTGTGTATACACACACTAAAATAAATATAAATACATGTATGTTTAAGTGTTCAAAGTGTGTGTTTGTTTCTGTATGTATACATTATTGTTATCATATAATACAATAGTTTGTGTTACTATGTTCCCCCTCTGCTACTTGGAGTTTCTTATTGACCTCCTAGTGAGTGGACCAAATGAGTTCAAAAAGGAGACTACATTATTTTATCCTTACTATTTCTAACACTTTCATCAATTCCCTAGGTTAGGGAATAACCTATTCTAATTGGTAATTTTCTTTAGTAGGACTGGTAATCATTAATTTTACTATTTTTGAAAATAAATAAATAAAACCGGGAACAACTAATCTAACTAGAATAACCAATAAAATATAATGTTCACGGCAATTATCCATAATTTAAATAAATTTAAATAAGAAAGGATACAACTTTTTAGATTAAAAATATTTACATTAAACTTATTCAGACATTTTTGATTGTTTTGTTCAGAAATATTGAGGAATTCTTACACAGCATTTGGCTGTATATCTGAGAATGGACAAGCAAATCCTAGCGGCTTGTATTTCTGTGGATGATGATCATGATTTTTATACTAATTGTAGTAGTAGGAGTAGTAGTAGTAGTAGTAGTAGTAGTAGTAGGAAAGTGAAACTAATATGAACCAAGTTCAAAACCTTGTCATTGAACGGCTTCATATTTTTTCCTTTTTTCTTTCTTTCTTTCTTTCTTTTTTTTTTATCGAATGCCAAGCTGAAAAGGCATTGTTTTCTGACAGAATTTCAATGTTGGGTTGCAATCAGGATCAATGTGGATGCCTTGTTGAGAAACAGGGGGAGATATGCAAAAAGCATCAGAAGGAAAGAGTTAGTAAAAGAATATTGAAATAGAAATGGATGCTTTTAACTTTTAAGGGGGTGCTGAAAAGTTCTCAGTCAGACCCCCCCCCAAAAAAAAAAATTCTGATGTTAAGACAGATTTTTTTATGTTTCATTCATATTTCTTTTAGAAAGAACATCAATTTCTTTGTGTCTGAAGCTATGTGTGAAAATTGGGTGATGGGATAGGGGGCAACACACTTTAACGTGGTGTAATGGTTAACAAGCTTGTCTCACTAGATCAGTTACAACTGAATAGTGAGTTTGATCCTCCCTATGTGACCCATACTTTCAACCTCGTGCCACATCACCATAACACACAAGTGGGGTTTCATGGTGGGTAATTATTAACACTTTCACTGGCTGCATTGTTGCCTGGCTGTGCTGGTCCATTTTTGTGAGAAACAGGAAATTGGTGTTTACTGGAAATAAATTACTATAAGGACACAGCAATTTCTCATGGCTACTGCCATCTTAGCTTCAATGCCATACTCTGCAGTGCAGACAAAGTTAAATAATGCCCTCAACACACACTATAATAAAAATATGTTACAAAACTAATCATATTATACCTTACTATATATGTTTGGTGGTTTGGAAATAACACTAATTGCTAGTTAGTGTATAAAACAAATGCTATGGACCAACATTTAAACAACTACTTAAAAGTGTGTGTGTGTGTGTGTGTGTGTGTGTGTGTGTGTGTGTGTGTGTGCATGCCAACAACTACTCAAAACGTATGT